CGGCATTCCCAGTCCGGGCCGGCATTCCCATCCTGGGCCGGCATTCCCATCCTGGGCCGGCATTCCCAGTTCGGGAACCGGAATTCCCAGTTCGGGCCGGCTTTCCCAGTTCGGAAGCCAGCATTCCCAGTTCAGGCCGGCATTCCCAGTTCGGGCTGGCATTCCCAGTTCGGGAGCCGGCATTCCCAGTCCCGGCCGGCATTCCCTGGAGCCGCAGCCAGCCCAGCAGCAGCCCCTGACTTTGCGGCTCTCTGGGAACGGGACGTGTCCTGACCCCTCCCGGGACACAATCCATTGCCTTTCCTACCTCTGGGCCATTCCCGGAACAATTCCCAGCTGGCGCCTTTCATTCAGGCGCCGCCGAGCACTTTACAAACTTTAATTAAAGCTCGCGGCCCTCTGGGAACAGGGAATTGCCTTTTCCCGAAGTGATGGAAGGGGAAGCGGGGCATAAAGCGATTCCCGGCTCCAGCGGGACGAGGCTCCCCGGCATTCCCGGCTGCGGGAATGGGGAATTTTCCAGATCCCTCGCTGGGATCCACCGCCACCTTGGGAAGAGTGCGAGCAGCTCCCGGTGGGATCAGCTGCCCCCTCCGACTCCGGGAGGAATCGGTTCAAATTCCCGAGCCCACGGTTTTATCCCTTCCCAAATTAACCCTTCTTGTGCCGGGTGTTGGTAAATCCCAGCTCCGCCATTCCCGGGGTCCTGTGGCAGGGTGGGGATGGCTCCTGCATCCCAGTCCTGCATCCCAGTCCTGCATCCCAGTCCTGCATCCCTGTCCTGCATCCCTGTTCTGCATCCCTGTCCTGCATCCGTGTCCTGCATCCATGTCCTGCATCCCTGTCCTGCATCCGTGTCCTGCATCCGTGTCCTGCATCCCTGTCCTGCATCCCTGTCCTGCATCCCTGTCCTGCATCCCTGTCCTGCATCCCAGTCCTGCATCCGTGTCCTGCATCCCAGTCCTGCATCCCCGTCCTGCATCCCTGTCCTGCATCCCTGTCCTGCATCCGTGTCCTGCATCCGTGTCCTGCATCCCTGTTCTGCATCCCTGTCCTGCATCCCAGCCCTGCATCCCAGTCCTGCATCCCTGTCCTGCATCCGTGTCCTGCATCCATGTCCTGCATCCCTGTCCTGCATCCCTGGACGCTGCTCCCAGCCCCGTGTCCTTCACGGTGCCCCCGGGGCCAGCACGGCACCCTCAGAGTCCCACCTGGCCCCAAGGTGACATTGCCACCACCAGGGGACAATCCACGGTGGCTCCGCGTGGAGCTCCCCCAGGCCGTGAGGCTGAGAGCGCTGGGTCAGGATGGGGACACAGGGACCGGCCTCGCTGTCACCCAAAGTGCCACCACCCCCTGCACCTCCTCCTGCTGTCCCTGGGTCAGGATGGGGACACAGGGACCGGCCTCGCTGTCACCCAAAGTGCCACCACCCCCTGCACCTCCTCCTGCTGTCCCTGGGTCAGGATGGGGACACAGGGACCGGCCTCGCTGTCACCCAAAGTGCCACCACCCCCTGCACCTCCTCCTGCTGTCCCTGCAGGCACTTCCCTCCGGAGACACCCCAAAAACGCTGTGGTTTGTTTTTGGGGACAGTTCTCATGGGGAGGGGACAACTGCCAGCCCCGGGCTTTGCACTGGGCCACTCTCCTGCTCTATCTGGGCATCTTTCTCCTCCTGTGATTCCCAGGCATTCGCTCTAATTGTTAATTGTTAATTATTAATTACGGAGCAGCTGCAATTCCCAGCCGGCCACGAGTCCCTGGCCAGGGCTGCTCCGTCCCTGCAGGGACAGCTCCAGGAGAGGACAGCAGGATATCCAGGGATTCCATAATCACCCCAAATCCAGGAGGGACACTGGGATATCCAGGGATTCCATAACCACCCCAAATCCAGGAGGGACACTGGGATATCCAGGGATTCCATAATCACCCCAAATCCAGGAGGGACACTGGGATATCCAGGGATTCCTTAACCACCCCAAATCCAGGAGGGACACTGGGATATCCAGGGATTCCATAATCACCCCAAATCCAGGAGGGACACTGGGATATCCAGGGATTCCATAATCACCCCAAATCCAGGAGGGACACTGGGATATCCAGGGATTCCTTAACCAGCCCAAATCCAGGAGGGACACTGGGATATCCAGGGATTCCATAACCAGCCCAAACTTCCCTCTGGCAGGAGCCAGGGAGTGGCCTCTGCTCTGGGAGTGCAGGTTTGAGACCCCAAGCGGGGTTTGCCCCTCGAGCTGCTGGGGGTGGAGCGGCTCTGCTGGGAATTCTGGGCTCCGTGGTGCCAGAGGAATCCAGGGAAGTGCCTTCCCAGCCCAGGGTGCTCCCGTGGGAGCTGAGGTGACCTGGTGCCACCAGCGCTGGGCACAGCGAGGCCGTGCCCGATGGGCACAGTGCCCCCAGCTCATCCCATTGCCAGTGCACACCCCACACACCACATCCCCCGTCCCACATCCTATATCCCACATTCCACACCCCATATCCCACATCCCATATCCCACATCCCAGCCTGGCACACCAACCCTGAAGCAGCCACAGCGCTGAGATCCCTGCTGATCCCGGTGTCCCCACATTTACCAGGATCCCTGCTGATCCTGGTGTCCCCACGTGTCCCCACATTTCCCGGTGTCCCCACACTTCCCGGTGTCCCTGTTGATCCCGGTGTCCCCACACACCCGCTCAATGCCCCCTGGGTCTCACCCCACTGTTCCCATCACACCCAAAGCCCCCGGACGGCTGCTCTTGCTCAGCCCATCCCATGTTCCCTTCGGAGCCCTTCCTGCACCTTCTCCACCCTGCTCCCACTTGTGGAACCCCTGGAATTGTGGCAGGGCCCTGAGCTCCATTCTGCTCCCCCAGCCCCTTTGATTTTGCTGTTCCCGAGCCTGTTGTTCCAACCTCATCCCGAATTAACGCAGCTCCTGGGTAGGAGAAGGGCTGGGAAGGGATTAAACACTGGCACCGTCCCCACCCCATATCCCATATCCCATATCCCATATCCCATATCCCATATCCTACATCCCATATCCCATATCCTACATCCCATATCCCACATCCCATATCCCATATCCCATATCCCATATCCCATATCCCATATCCCATATCCCATATCTCATATCCCATATCCTACATCCCATATCCCATATCCTACATCCCATATCCCATATCCCATATCTCATATCCTACATCCCATATCCCATATCCTACATCCCATATCCCACATCCCATATCCCATATCCCATATCCCATATCCCATATCCCATATCCCATATCCCATATCTCATATCCCCTATCCTACATCCCATATCCCATATCTCATATCCCATATCCTACATCCCATATCCCATATCCTACATCCCATATCCCATATCCCATATCCCACATCCCATATCCCACATCCCATATCCCACAGCCCACATCCCAAGACATTTCCTGAGGCCTGGCGGGACCTGAACCCTCCCCACCTTCCCTGGGCTGCTCCAGGTGCTGCTCCCTGGCTGGGGCACCCGGAGCTGGCCCAGCCCAAAGGGAAAAACCCCCTTTTCCAGGGGGAAAAGCAGTTGGGAAATAGGGCCAGGCACAGCCAGGGCCTGGAACCCCGAGTGGGAATTGTTGAATCCATGAGAAAATGATAAAACCCAGCAAACTGTGGGTCCGGTGCCTGTGTCGCACCGGGATGGGTATCATGGATAAAGTGGGCTGGTTTTCCATGGAAATTTGATTCCACGCGGGATTTATCACTGAATATTGAATTAATAATAATAACAATAACAATAACAATAATAATAATAATAGTAATAATAATAATAGTAATAATAGTAATAATATCCTGGGTTTGGCATGGCCACCAGCCCCTGGTGTCCCACTCCTCCAATCCCCACACCTGGGTGTATCCTATCCTATATTCTATCCCATATCCCATCCCTTATCCCATCCCGTATCCCATCCCGTATCCCATCCCTCGGCGCACTGGGATTATTTTCCTCCAGGTAATTAAACCAGATTTTAAAAAATTAAAAATAAACACTATTTTTCCAAAGCCACAAAGCAGAAGGGAAGAACGTTTCCCTCTGCCGAGCGCCCATTCCCGGATGGATCCGTGGGAAGGACGGGAACCTTTCCCGGCCCTGCCGCTGCCTCCCGTTGTCCCCGCGCCCGCTCCCCGCCAGCAGCAGCAGCTTCCCAAAACCACGGAAGCACCGAGCTACCGAATGGGCTGCAGCACACACAGGAAAAGGAAATTTAAAATGTCTACGTGGCTTCTTTGCACCCCAAAATCTCTGGGATTTGGGGTTGGGATGCCGCTGCATTTCCCCAGGAATAAACGGCGTTGTCGCATTTAGGCTCCAGGCGATGCTGGAAAAGGCCAGGGAATGGCTAAGCTCGCCCTGGGGCATCCCAGAGCTGCCCTTTCCACCCCGACAAGTTCCTGGCTGTTCTTTGACCTTTGGGGTTTGTCCTTTTTTCCCTTTTTTCCTCCATTCCAGCCCAGAGAGGTGACAGGAGCAGCGGGAAGGGACCCGAGCCAGATCCAGCGCTGAGCCCCGCGAGCCGCAGGGACAGCATCACCCTCGGGCTCCAAACACCCCCGGGATTTTGGGGGCTCAGTTCTCGCTTCCCAACAGCCACAGCTGCTCCTTCCCACTGTCCCCGTGCCCGTGACATTTTCCTGCCAGGAATTTCCTGCTCCCAGGGATGGAGGTTTGGTGTGGTGGAGCCCAGGCGAAGACGAGCCAGGCGGGCACTGGGAACTCCCACGGCTCCAGCTCTATTTCCCAAATCAATTAAAGCTTAAAAATTCAATTAATTCAGCACATAGGCCCAACCGCCTCACCAGAATTTGGGGAAAACTTTCTCCATCCCTCAGCTGCTGAATATCCCGGGAAATAGCGCTCCTTCCCCTGGAGCATTTGGGAGCTCGCCGGGACACCGGGCTCCCAGAGATGCTCAGCCCCAGCTCCCTCATTTTCCCCCAGCTCTGTCCACTTTTCCTCTCATCCCTGTGCTTCTCCTGGGTCTCCTTACATCTGAATTCCCGTGAAATGTCTGTTCTGATCCCAGAAAGTCTCATCCGACACCAGCGCCCTTCGGCAGCGTCGTCTCCACACCCATCCTGAATTCTGGGCGCACAGAGCGGGGCTGCTCGGCTCAGCCACACTTTTCCAGCTTCCCAGGGAAGCCTTTGGGCTGCTGCTCCTTTCTTAACTGGATTTTTAAACCCATCAGTTGCTCCCAGGAAAAACACCCCGAGCCAGCCAGGAACAACACCAGGAAAGCGCTCCGGAGAGCAGGACCGTGCCGGAGCCGCATCCCCAGCCCCAAAGCTGCCGCAGCCTCTGTGACACCCGAACGCCGCCACACAAAAACCCCAAATCCAGCCCGAGGGGCCCGGGAACACCCGCAGGCTCTGGGGCTCCCGGCACCTGCTGGAACCCCAGGCCTGGAATCCCAGCTGGGATTTCCCACAGGAGCGCTGCGCGGATCCGGTGCCGGTTCCGAGCTGCTCCCGGGGCTGCGGATCCGGGACAGGCTGGGACACAAGGGATGGGACACATGGGAGACACGGGGTGGGACAGAAGTGACACATGGGGTGGGACAGAAGGGACACACAGGTGGGATAGCTGGGACACACGAGGTGGGACAGAAGTGACACACGGGGTGGGACACCTGGGTCACTTGAGGTGGGACAGGCTGGGACACTCAGGGTGGGATAACTGGGACACACAGGATGGGACAGGAGGGACACACGGGATGGGACAGAAGGGACACACGGGGTGAGATAACTGGGACACACGGGTGGAACAGAAGGGGCACATGGAGTGGGACAGGAGGGACACACGGGATGGGACAGGAGGGACCCACGGGTGGTACTGGAGGGACACACAGGATGGGACAAGAGGGACACACAGGATGGGACAAGAGGGACACACAGGTGGGACAGAAGGAGCACACAGGATGGGACAGAAGGAGCACACAGTATGGGACAGGAGGGACACACAGTATGGGACAGGAGGGACACACGGGGTGGGACAGGAGGAACCCTCGGGTGGCAGTACCTGTGTCTCGGAGAGGCTGAGGCTGCTGGCCAGCTGCTTGCGCTCGGCGCCCACCACGTAGTGGTTCTTCTCGAAGGCCCTCTCCAGGCGCAGCAGCTGCGATGGGGAAAAGGCCGTGCGGATGCGCTTGGGCTTGCGGGCGAAGGGGCCGTGCAGCAGGAGGCTCTCCTGGGACACCTCGCTCCCTGCGGGCACACACAGAGCTCAGCCCCGGAACCCCCTCTGCAGGGCCGGCTTGGGCTGATTTCCTTGCCCCGTGGCACGGGAAGGGCACAAAAGAGGAATTGCGGGGTTTTTCGGAGCCTTCCCCATCCCAAAATTGCAGCGTTTGTGCCCCGTTCTCCCTCTCGGCTGATCTCAGCCCCACGGTGGGGTTGGACACAGCGCTAAAGGGTGGGGAGGGAGGGGGAAAGAAAGAAAGAGAAAGAAAGAGGGAGAAGGGATGGATGGGGAGAGCAGCAAGAAGAGGAAAGAAAGAGGAAGAGAAGGTGGGAGGCAGAGAAAAAACTGAGACAGAGAGAAAAAGAAATTATAAAACAGGAGAAAGACTGAGAAATTGACAGGAAAAGAAAACAGAAAAGGAAAGGTAAGAAAGGAAATAGTGAAGTGGAGAAAGAAAGAGGGAAGGGGACAAGGAAAGAGAGGAGAAAAGTGGGGAAGCAATAAAAAAAAACAGAAAAAGAAAGATAAAGGAAAAAAGAGAAAGAGACAAGAAGTGGGAAAGCAAAAAAAAAAATAAAAGAAGGAAAGAAGCAAAGAACAACGAGCGAGAGAAGGAAAGCTGTAAAGCAAGCGAGCGAAACAAGGTAGAAAGAAACGAAAGCAAGGGAAGAACAAGAAAATTAAAGGCGGAGAGAGAAGGCAGGAGAGAGGGACGGCTCGGGAGAGCCGGGCCCGGGGGCTGTGGGGGACCGGGAGCCCCGCATGGCCCCGGCCGGAGCCGCTCCCGGGGCCGAGGGAGCCGGGCCGGTGCCCCCGGGAGCCGCCGGCAGCGGCCGCAATCCCCGGCGGAGCCCCGGGGACGAGCGAGGGCTTGGTGCCGAGCAGATAAAACTAATCCGGGCTGCGGGACCCCCCCGGCACCGCGGCGGGACAGGCGGTGAGAGGAAACGGGGAGGCAAAAAAGAGGAAAATAAAACAGAGAAAAAAACAAACTAACAAACAAAAAAGAAAAAAAAAACCGAGGAAAAAAAAAAACCGTGTGGGAAAAAGGAAAGAAAAGGAACCGGATAAAGAAAGGAAAAGGAAAAGAAAGAGGATTGGAAGGAACAAGAAGAAAGAAAATGAAGATTGAAAAAAATAAGAGACAGAACCAGAAAATGAAGAGAAAGAAAGAAAGAACGAAAGAAGCGAAACAGGAAAGCAAAGAAAAGAAAGAGAAGGAAAGAAAGCGAGGAAATAAATAAAGAGAAGAAAAGGAACGGAGAGAAAATCTACGGAACCAAACAACATCTCCCTGCGCAGCCGAGATCCACCGCACCGAAATCCTTCCCTTCGTTCCCGGGAAGGAGAAAACCAAATTCCCTTCTCGGCTGCGCACGGAGGCGGCGGCGCCGGTCCCGTCCCCCGGAGCTCCGCGATGCTCGGCCGGGACTCCGCGAGGCTGCCCGGCTCTGCCCGGCCCCGACCGCGGCCCCGGGGCTGCGGGAGCGCTCCGGCCGCGGGCGTGCAAAGGCGGCGGCACCGGCAGCTCCGCGGCACCGGCAGCTCCGAGGCACCGGCAGCTCCGAGGCACCGGCAGCTCCGAGGCACCGGCAGCTCCGAGGCACCGGCCCCGCTGAGCAGCGCCCGCGGCCCCGGCCGTGCGTGCGGGCACGGCAGCAACAGGTCCTGCCCTGCAGCGGGGCCCCCCGAGCCCCGGGCAGGAGCCCCGCGGCTCCGCAGCCCCCGGGGCCGACGCCAGCCCTCGGCCCGCGCCCCCCGCAGCCCCCGCTCACCTTGGAAGCGGTGGCCGAAGAAGCGGTTCCGCAGCACCCAGGGGTAAAAGTTGAGCGGGTCGCGGTGCTGCGGCCCGAAGAAGGGGTGCGGGTGCGGCAGGGCCGAGCCCCCCAGCTGGGGGGGCCCGACGGGCAGCGCCGGGTGCCCCACGGCCTCGGGGAAGACGAGCTCGGCGCTGCCGTACAGGGCCCGGCCGGCGGCTCCCTGGAAGCCGGGGGCGAAGGCGGCGGCGTCGGCGGCGGCGGCGGGGCCGGGGTAGGCGAGGGCGGCGGGGCGCGGGGGGTCCTCGGGGCCCAGGGGGGTGTCCTTGCCCACCAGGGACTCGATGGTGAAGCAGCGCTTCGCAGACGGCTGGAACATGGTGTGAGCCGGGAGCGGGGGGGGGGCCGGAGCGGGGCCGGTCCTGCGGGTGCGCGCGTGTGTGCGGTGTGTGTGTGTGTGCGTGTGCAAGAAACCTCCCCCTGGGCACGGCACACACACACGGACCCGCGCCCCGCACCCCTCCCTCCCTCCGCCCCCGCCCCGCCGCCCACCCGCGGGCGCCCACGCAGCCCCGAGCCCCGGCGGATGCGGGCGGTACCTGCGGGGCCGGGCAGGGGCCGCCTCACCTGAGCCCCGCGACACACAGGAGAGGCCGGAGGAGGCAGGGCCGGGCTGGGAAGGCAGGGAATGTAGGGATGGGATGGGATGGGATGGGGAGAGCAGGGAATGTAGGGATGGGATGGGATCGGAGAGCAGGGCCGGGATGGGGACGGCACGGGAGGCAGGAATAGGATGGGGAGAACAGGGGAGGCAGGAATGGGATGGGGTGAACAGGGGAATGTAGGGAGGGGATGGGAGACCAGGGCCGGGATGCGGAGGGCACGGGAGGCAGGAATGGGATGGGGAGAACAGAGGAGGCAGGAATGGGATGGGATCGGAGAGCAGGGCCGGGATGGGGAGGGCAGGGGAGGCAGGAATGGGATGGGATGGGATGGGATGGGATGGGATGGGATGGGATGGGATGGGATGGGATGGGATGGGATGGGATGGGATGGGAGGGGATGGGG